GGGTGTTGTGAAATGGGATTATTACTCGATAAAGGTGAACTAAATATTGTAAAATTTAGAATTATTCAAATTAGAAATAATTATATACATTATTTATTAAGAAAATACAATTACCTTTGAGTATTTATATCACATTCATGTTCCTTCGAAATATATCCTGGCACTAAATAGAAGGATATTATTAGAATAATTAATTTTGACTATTGAATGTTTTTATTGAATTATTTCTACACGCAAATATAATTACCTTGATATTTAAGTGACTTTGTAAGTGATTCGTAGATAATGATTTAGAAATTAAAGAGTTTAATGCTCTACTTGAATAAATTGCTTTTGGATGTTTTTCAGTATATTCAGAACCAAATTTCTTTAATACTATTAATTCCAATCGTTTCTTTTCCGCTTTATAAAATTGTGTTCCGCATTTAGTTTTGTTGATCAACCAATCATAAATAGTTTCACGAACTCCTTGTATAGAAGGTCTTTTTAATGGATCAGTATCCCAACAACTTTTCATTAAATCATCATAACATTCAGGAGTATCCTGTGTGATTTCAGGCCGATTTCCATCTATAATACTATAAATAAGATGATGATCATGTTCAACATTAGCAACCTGTTGTAAGTTCCCACATAACCATAGCCAAACTATAAACATCAGATGCTTTTGAAATGAAGCACCATTAAATATTTCTGGCGCAATACAAGGTATTACTCCATATATTTCATTATTTAATTAAGTATTATTTGCGGGTTGTGATAATCCTAGATCTCCAATTTGCCAATAACTAGTAAATAGCATATTTCCACTATGTATATCTCGATGTATGAGATTATTATTATGAATTCTACAAAGTCTAACTTAAAAAAGAAATTAGTATTATAAATTAAATATATACATAAAAATAGTATAAATAAAGTGCATATACCCGTTTACAATATCCATTAAAATGTCTAATTTAGCTGTAGATTTATCACTCCATGACAATTCTTTAAAATTCCTTTGTAAATAATGATGTAAATCCCCTCCTGATGCATAATCCATTATTAACATATAATCATTTGTTTTGGGATCTTTTGTAATACCATGATATCTAAAAACATTATTATAAACATCTGCATGAAAAGTTTGATTTGAACTTAACTAGTAATATAATTTGGATTATTTTAGTTATTGAATAAAAATTAAATTAATTATAATTTATTTTATATTTACCTCATTTAAGAAATATTTGCTAAAATCATTTGAATTTAAAAATTTTTTTATAGCAATATTCGAATTATTATTTTTAAAATTTCGTATAATACCTAAATAATTTGCTTTATAAATGATACCAAATCCCCCTTCTCCTATTTTTTCTAAGTTTGTAATTTGAGAAAATGGGATCCATTTAATTACTGAGCGTGAAAACATATCGATACTATAAGAAATCCCAAATGGAATGGAACCATTCTTAAACCTTTTTATGTAATTATCAAATTTAATCCGAGCATTATGATATGTATTGCAAATGAATTCATTTATAATACTATTTCCACAGCTTATAAATGATGACATACCATTTATATTTGATGTATCAATATAAATAGACGTTGTTCTTTTGCATTTGTTACAGTGAGTTTGATTTACAATTCCACCAACAACATTCGTTGTTAAACAATATCTACATCCGCTATAAGTTATTTGGCAACATTCACAACATTTGAGACAATCAGATACGTAACTTAATTCTTTGTAACAATTTCTACAATTAACTTTACTTTGATCCCACCATGGTAAAAAAAGAATTGGAATATCTTCATTGGTTAAAGCTGATTTTACCCATTCAAAAGTAACTTGATAACAATCCGAACAAAGCTTAAATTTCTTTATCTCCTGATAAATTAATTTTCCACATATTTTACAATCCTTATTATTTTCAATTACGTTAGAACTCGTTGTTAAATGATCCATGGATCTTCCTGAATATACTTGTTTGAACCATAAAATATCGGAGCAAGATTCACACCATTCATGAATGTTTTGTGTGCAAAAATCTGTATTTCTAGCTTCATGTTTATTACATTGAACATTATTTGTACCTATGAGTACATCCAAATAAGTATTATCATCAGGAATCTTACTAACATAATCAGTTAAACAAATTTTACAATATCCTTGGCGAAAAAAAATTGTTTCTGAGTATTTATTTCCACAATGAAATTTGTCACCATATAAGGTATAAGGAAGAAACGTAATTAGTGCAGGGCTGGATTTTAATTTTGGAGCTATATCACTCCTAAGCTCCATTTATGAAAAAGTTTAAATTAAAAAAAAAAATTATGAAAGAATATTCACCGCCATTTTTATGATTTACTCATGTTACACAAAACATCAGAGCAGAATTTCCACTTGGAATTCTATTATTAGATAAGATCAACATCTCCTGCATTCAAAATACTGTATGTATTTACTATAGCACTGCGCCGTATACGATGCATAAATTTTCATTCGATAATAAAATTGACAATATTACAGTATATGAGGGCTGACGTTTCATATTCAAGTTGCAATGAATAATGAAATTTATTACAATGAGAATTATGAGAGGTTTAGAGAAATTTTTTCTATTTTATTTTGGAAACAAATTGTATCGACCGATTTAAATTTGTAAATTTTTCTATTTTGATGTAATAAATATCTTTTATGAGATAAATCTTTTCGAATTTTGTGAATTCTTGAAAGCGGCATAGTTCCAGAATTCCTTAATTTAAAAGTGTAAGATTTAATTTCTCATTTATTTATTCAAACGTATAAGAAAGAAAGAAAATGTGTAATTCAATTGGAAAATGACAAAATTGTCAAAATAATTCTCTTTTATTCTGGAGACAACATTTCATGATATATTGACTTATTATTATTAATACCAATGGTTCAATTAGCGTTGCTTTGTGAAAACTAATTATAAAAAAATCAGGATAAAAATTTTAACCTCTAACTATATTAATCCAGTTAACCAAAAAAAAAAAAATAAATTAATTATCAATGCAAAATTTAAATCGTAAAGGAAGGTTCGCATAATGCATAATAAAACAAAAAAACACGCAATTATACATTTATAAAAATTTCTTGGATAATAAACTGCTAATAAGTTTGGTAGTATGTGTCAGTATAACCACTAAAATTTAATGATATATACTATTTACAACTAATCGGCAGTATAAATCAAATAATTTTCATGCGACTATTAATGTTTAAGTCTAAGTACATGAAAATTATTTGAACTTGTGAACATTATAATTCTGTCTATCCTTCCACGATATTTAAGGTTAAAAATTTATTCTTTATCCTTTAGAATGCTTGCATTAGAATCTTTCTTAAATCCAGTTAACATGATAGCGTATATTTTGATTCAATGTCGAGAAGTCAAGTTATTTATGAACATGAAAATTGTATTATAATATCAATTTTGGAATTGAGTTAACAGCAATTCAAACTCTAATAATCCTGCACCATAATTGAATTTGACATAGTTACTTTTACATGTTGCTTGGAAAGAATTAACAAATCAATGAAAGAAGATATCATAAGATCAAGGCTGATTAACTGATTCATCATCACAATTAAAAATTTACTGCGAACCCATTTTGATTCATTGTTGCAATTTAGGAATTTACTAATTATCGCGGATATCTCTCTTGATTTTTCGTGAAAGCGACAAACTTATTCACTAAAAATAGGGTGAAAATAAGGCAGTACAGTTAAGACTAATAAGTATTTTGAATTGTTATAACTGAGAGATATTGTCTCATATTGGAAACAGTAGAACAATAAGGAGTTTAATTGTCACGAAATATACAACATCGACCACATGAGGAAGCATGTAAAAGCCATGAAATTATCAGATTCCAGAATAAACTTATTAAGTAGCCAAGATCTAGACTTTCATAAAAAATTTAGACTTAATTAATTTATTACATTAAAAACCTGAAAATGAAAATTTTCCAACTACAATATAAAGCGTTATTTAGATTGGTAAAGTCATTTGCGCATACAACCTTCATTAAAATTACGATAATACGTTACATTTTCCATGATAAAAATTACCCATATATTAAATAATTAAATTAAATAAATTTGAAAGTTTGTTTGAATCTCATTTGGTACTTGTTCAACTTATTATAAAAAAAAAAAAAAAACAAGTCATTGACTTAACGGAACGACATGAATGTGTGGTTTAACTGCAAGAATAATAAAAAACATGCCATTTGATATACAGTAACAGTGGAATTTCCTTTTTTTTTTAATAATAAAAATAAAGCACATAAATTTACATCATGAATCTTCAACCTATAATTAAAAACGGTTTCATCGAAAGAATCAAAACAACTTTCACTTTAATAAATATATTAATTGCATTAGTCGAGATTGTTTCATAATATAGCAAAATTAATTTAACTTTAATAACTGCTATAATATGGGTTGCTTCCTATTATAGTTGCCTGGCAGTACTCATTTTAGCAAATGGCAAAAGTCGAAACTCTGGATTTGTTAATAAGTATATAATATAGGTTTGACTTTTGACGGGATTTTATTATGGTTTCGAGTTTCGACGGGTTTGCCAATAAGGTTTTATTACAGTTTTGCCAATGACCCCGTCGAAACCCGAGAGTTTTGCCAGGCAACTATATTGCCTATCATTTTTTTTCATTTGTTTTTTACTTAGCCGGCCAAGCTCATTCTCAATGCATTCATTATTTTACATAAAGAAAATTCGCAATTTTAAATTTTGTTTTAATTATTTGATTATATAAAAAAAAAAATAAAAAGATAAGCTGGAAGATCTAGAATAATACGACGTATCCAATCTAACGAAAAGATGTAATAGTCTCTTTCCAAAAGATCAGTGAAAGAATAGATGTAATACTGCAAATATACAATGTGAAGTTATTGTGTGTAAGGAAAAGTGATCTAAATTAGCAAAGCAAAAAATAATTGACAAAAAAATTTATACTTATTTTTAAACGTTCCAAATACCAAGAGCATTGAAAACTTTTTGCAACGGTTCCTTAAAGAATTTCATTTCTTCAGGAATCGACGTTTGAAGCTTTTCTTCTGCCTGCACCAGAGTTTGAGATTTATCCCCAAGGAATTCGTCGTTGCTTCGAATTTTCATCAATATTAACAGTTCGTAGTCATAGAGTGACATATTTACACTTTTTAAAACATTTTCCAACTGTAATATAGATTCTTTTTCCAAATCAGCATAGTCTGACTTTTCCATCTTAACTTTTTTATAAACAGCAAATTTACTATGGACCATACATTTGCTCCTAACTTCATTGTACTTCCCTATTAAACAAAGTAATCCAGTCTCTATATAAGCATTTTTATTTTCCAATTTGTTTAATAGTTTTTCCACAAGAGTCAAAAGTTCCTTAATGATGGCGTTTTTTCCATCTGTCGAGTAAATGTTTTGCGTTATCGTTTAGGATTGCTAGGTACTTTGCACGATCCATCATATTTTCGTCGTCATTTTCTTTCCTAAGGCATTTATTCTCGTCACGTCTAAGCTTCAAACTATTAAACTCGGACTTTGTAATCTCAACATTTATAGATTAGAAAAATCAAGGCTAGTAAGTAGATTTTTTTTTCTTGTTTAGTAGTATACATATATACACATGATATACTGCCTTTTTTAGGAAGGTCACTTTTTTAGTTCATAGGTCATTGATATCAAGTAATTACGCAGAAATGTAATTCCAATACTGTCAAGTGTCGATTTGCGTCAGATGTTCGATGGGATTACTAAATTTAAAAATGATCGGTCAGTGATGTTAGAAATTACAAAAATGGGCCGGTAATTTAGACCAGCCCAACAGAAATTTGACGCAAATCGACACCTGACGCACAACATTTAGAAAAACTGAAAGTATCTTCTGCCTAGAGCTTTTCACCGAATTACCCTATGGATAATATAGGATAATCCGTTTGAAAATTTTGAGATCCGGTTATCCTATT